GGGGGGGTGCGGGGAGGAAGGGCAGAATGCCAGGAGGTCAGTCAGCAGAGCATGAGAGAGAGAAGTTAATGCTGTTTCCAGTTCCTGCATCTGCTATTACAATAGGTACTGGCAGTGAGGAAGAATAATTGCAGGGAAAGTCTCTGAGCATTGGGAAGATACACAGTTTCTTTGCAGGGGGAGCAACATCCGACCATGTGTCTGGGCACCTGTGATCAGAGTGCCCTATACAGTGGTTCAGAGAATTGGGAGTATCTACAGATGACGGTTTTCCAACCAATGTGCCAATTTCATTGTGTTCAACATATATCTTTCACGTTGAAAGGCACAGTTCTGTTACAAAGGCCAAAATACCAAACATCGACCTCAAAACCATTACTCCCTAATCTTTTTCTTATGGGTGGCTAACCTTGTATAAGCAGCTGCAATCTAAACTGCATTATGAAACATATTATGTGGTTCTTAGTTAAACATATTCATATTTGCAGTGTTTATACTATACTGAATTAAAAAAGAAAAGAAAAAAGAACCTGTGCATCCATTCCCATGTTTAAGGTAAAAAAAAATAATCCCAAACCCTATTCTATATCTAAGTTAAAAATAGCCCATCCCATAGTTGGCTGGTTGGAAAAGAAATCAGTCCATATAGTGAAAGGAAGCCTTCTCCTATAATAGAGCTAAATTACATGATCACACAATCAGTTAATAGATAGAAGGAAAAATATTGGAATTACATATTATTTATTGGAATTGCTTTTGTTCTGACTGCCATCAAGACCAGCTGGATACTCTTTGAAGACAATTAGGAGGAACTTAAAACCAAGACCAAACTCAGTAATCAGTATGCCAGTAAAAAATCATTACCCACAACTAGCACAGATGCAGGGTTGGAAGGTATTGTAAATCAGAGTCTATAACTTGAATGGATGAGCATTCATTAGAGGTTTCAATCTGACAGTATTTGGCTGCATTTTCTCATCATCACCAGCACTGTCTGGAGGTCTCTGTCAGGTCCCTTAGCTACTGTCCCCAAATGCTCCCTGACTCCTCTCAGACACCTTCTTCCCCTTCTCTCCCTGCTTTAACCTGCAGGGAGCTCAGAGGAAAACGTCTTCTGAGTCAGCAGCAATCAGCATTGTTTCCTCCTTTTTCCAAAGACCTAGAGGATTCTGCCAGCAGTCCTTAATAATAAGGCTTCTGCCTTTGACTATCTGTTCAGTGTTAAAAGTCTTAGTCACACTGAAGTTTTCATTTGGTGACTACTTTTCCCAGTCCTGGGGTTTTGCAAGAAAAGTGCATCAAAACCTCCCCTGCCAGAAATTCCCATCAACCTGTTGAACATCAGGCACCAATCCCACATGCTGGTCTAAAACTTCGCCTTGTGCACTGTCCCATTAGTTATGGTTTCCCAGCCTGTCCACCACCTGCACATACAGGTGCTTTGCAAACCACCTGCAGGACTGCTGCCTGTGCTTTCTGGCAATGTGTTTATTTTGGCAGAGGTGTACGGTGCAGCTGGGCAGGTTTGGGAATGTGAGATTCAGCATGCATGAACCAGGCTTCCAGGCATGCTGCTGCAACAGACTACAAAGCTGGTCTTGAGGATGGCCTCAAAGGACCCCTCAAAGGCAATATAAAGATATTACTGAGCTAGCTGTTCCTGAGCAGCTGCATATCAGCCTAATTGCTTGCAAAACTCAGAGCTCTTCTGGAATTTGTGAGCACAAACTGCAGTTTAGTGGGTTTTTTAAAAGATGTAATTATTTTATGAATAAGCTTCATAGCGCAAAAAAGAATCCGGGATGCCAAAAATTTCAATGTTAAAATAAATCTGAAGAAACTTTTCTGAAAAATTGATCAAGATGCAGATTTGTACAGCTGAAGCATTGAAATTCAACAGAATAGCTAAAATTCATCTGTATGATATATATATATGTTTTCTAGCATTTATAAAACCTTACCATAAGTCTTCCACTGTAAAATAAAAATAAAATTAACAGCCTACGAAAACCTTCATTTACAATTAAATAGAAAGAGTTATGAGTTTTTTTCATTTCAGTATGTAACATTTTGAATGACCATTGAAAAAGGATATGAATGTACCAAAATTTTAATAGCTATTTTTCTAAGAGGATTGAAGGGAGTTAAAATGTACAGGGCAGAGGTGGCACTGAATCGGAAGATTGCCTTCCCTTTATTCAATACTATAAAGGTCTGAAAAAGAGAAAGAAAAGACATTTTTAAAGTGTGTATGAACTGTGGATGCTAATTTTAAAATTGTTCCTAGTGACTAATCACCAAAATTGTAAATTTTGAATAGTTAATACACAAAAATCATGACTTATTTTTAAAATAAAACTTACTTCCAGTACTTACCTGATGTACCTGACATATAAAAATACAATTTTAAATATAGAACATTCAATTAATTAATGTTGTTATGCTACTTTCTCAACCTAAGTATGGTAATATGATACATTTACATGATGTGTTTCTTGTAAAAAAGGTGCAAAAATGATAATTTTATTGATGTTTTCCAATAGAAAACTCTCTTCCTGTTTGAAATACCATAAGCAGAGAAACCTTACCTGTGAATGTCAATGATGTGTTAGTAAGAGAAATCCTTATGGAAACTGATTTAATAGACTACCCATTTGTTCGTATTTTTTATTCTAGTCTGTTTCTTGGTCTTTGTGCTAAGGAGAGAGGGAAATAGCAGTAACACATACAGCCATGATTAGGTAGATCTCTGAGAACTGTGGGCAACTGCATACACCTTACTGGAGGAGAGCAAAAGAGACATCCCAGGTGACCTCCCTGCACAATTCTGGTTTGTCTGCGTGAAACTTTCCCAGAACATACATACTTGTTAAATCTAATTTTAACAGCTAAAGAGCCTATCGAATTTAGTGAAACTTAAAGGCATGCAAGCCTTACTTCAGAGAATTGTAGAAGACTCTGTAGGCTGAAAGCTTGTCTATTCTTCTCAAAAAAATTCCGTAAGCCAAATATAAATGGTATGAGAGCAAACCCTACAAACATTGCTTTGCTTCCACTGTAGGCCATCATGGCTGCAAGAGCATTAACGCTGCAGCACGGGAAATGTGGGCTGCCAGGTTTCTTTGTGACACTAAGGCACTCTTCAACTGCAAGATCAATCAGAAAAAGAATGAAAAGCACTGCAGAACAAAAGCTGCATGCAGTGGAAGGGATGATGCAAGGATTATAGCCTAAATTCAAACTAATTTAAAGATATCGAAGAATCTGCCCAAGAGAAATGTTCAAAATATCTTTTTTTTGTTTTCTCACAGTTGTATATTTTGTAAACAAGCTATGAGAGAGCCTCCTTGTTTTTTGTTACATTGTTGATGAACTAAGCTGTAAACTAGAATGCCAGTCGAAATGTGGGAAAGGCTATGTTGGTCTTTTCTGATGCCTGTGACATCAAGCATTGCTTCAAGACTGTAAGCAAGTGGACTACAAGGCCACTTCTGGGAAGGCTGGCAGACAGCGAAAATATACCAACGAGGTTCAAGAAGGACAATTCTTCAGTCTTCTTAGATTTGGGAAGCTTAGTATGTATGGACCATGAAGTACAGATACAAATCTCTAGGAGCACCCAGGAGGTGGAGAGAGACGTGGAGATGAGGGTTTCCACTGGTATGTGACAGATACCAAGTACTGAAGGCAGAGGAGAAGCGGGGATTAAGCCCTGAGGAAAAGCTGTCCCAATCCTGGCTCACTTGCTGGCTTCTTCCATGAGCTGCCTCTCTGTCATAGCTCTACACAGCACACCTTCCTATACAGACCAAACCCCTTAAGAGTAAGGGACATTAATACAATGAATACAAACTCAAGATGTGTAGGAATGATATAAAATATGCATTTAATTTCCTCACTTCTGCATGGAAATGGAGAAACTGTGCATGGAACTGAGGATAGTGGGATAAAGCCTCAGCTAATGTTTCCAAATCACACACGCTTCCATTTATGGATTACAGGTAATAACAGCCTTCAAAGGTAATAAGTGCAAAGTGTAACTGCAGATGACCTGACCTTAAGTGAAGCTTTTATTTTAATTTAAATTTAATTTTAAATACTGAAGCAACTAAGCAGATGAATGATTTTTTGGCCCAATGTTTTAAAGCCTCACACCCCAAGGGGGAAGTTGAGTTTCCCCTCGCAGGTCTGTCCCCAGCCCCCAGGACTCACAGCTCAGAAGCCTCCAGCTCACGCTCTCAGCTTTTGTAGCTATGAGGTAGTTGACAAAATACATTAAAAATCACACTCCCTACTAACTTTGTAGCTAAGACGACACCACCTACGTTTAGTCAACCTGTATTTTTAAAAGAATCTTTGAACGCAAGCATATTAAACATACATCTCTTTTCTAATGTGCCGTATGGAAAATAACAGCATGCTGGCACAGCTCCAGTTTCAGTTGGAAGCTGCTGCTATTTTAGCTGCTCTACTTTCTGCTGCCCTGCATAAGCAGAACCAACAAAACATAAATTCCCTACATCAATTTTAATTTTTCACTCAAATCATCTTTGTGACTGGAGCCCTCAGCATGACTTTGTTGATCCTCCGACTTCTAGCCTTAAACATGAACTAAAATTGTATCTTATCTCTGAAGAAGAATTTTCATAAAAAAAAAAACAGGTAAGAGCTGATATCCAATCCCTTTGTAAGCTTCTCTCCCTGGTAAGCCTGCTATATCTCACTCCAGTCTCAACCCAGATGCAAGCCAATGTGTAGGTAGTGTGGATGAACATGAAGTATTGTACTCAAAGCTGTCAGGACAAAGTAGGCATACATTGATAAAAGCTGAACAAATTTGAAACAAATTGTAAGATTAATGTTTGCATATGAAGGATTATGTATACTTTTCAGGGCTTAGGTTTTATAAAGTGCTTTAATTATTTTATAAAGGCAGGAAATCTGTTCACACTCAAACTATTAGAGTCTGAACATAAATGCAAAGAAATCCCTAAAGAGAAGGCCTTGATTTGCCATTTTTGCATCTGTAACCTGGATCCCAGTTCTGTAACTTCTGCCATATTTGATATAAACTCAGAAACTGCATTCTTAGCAGGGCAAAGAAGAAGGAGGAGGAGTATTTTGAGAAGATGCGGCTAAGAAGGAAGAAGAGTCCACACTGAACAAAGATACGGTCTTCGAGAACCTCTTGGGAAAAAGAGTTCCTTAAACTTTAATTCTCCTCTCCTTCCTCTCAGCTAGCTTTAATCGTAGTTCCTGGAAGGCTACATTTAGCAGGCTGCCTGCTACTTCATTGCATTTCCACTTCCTATGGTTAAATAAATACCATCTAAAACCTGATAGGATCTTCAGAAAGGCAAGAGGTGACATATTGTTGAGCTGTGTCCTTAGCTTCTTGAGAAAATTCTCAGGGGCAGCTAGAACAGCAGACTCATGGCATATTGGAAGTTGGCATTTCTTGGGTTTGTGGTTATCTTTTGAAACCATGTTTTCTAGCAAGACCTTAACTTTTTGCTTTGCTAGAACTTTTCACTTAAAAATTCTTTCACTTACAACTATCAGAAATATGTAAAATCACTGATGCATTCACCTTTCCTGATGTAATGAAGTTAAGTAAAGTAATTTTACAGAATCTTTTTGTTTCTGCAACCCAAGACAAGTTGAGGAATCCCAGGAGCTAGTGGTTTGATTAGATTAGGGACTGATATTACCAAGTGCCAGGACAAAAGGAAGCACCTTTTCTGACAGACATTGTTCAATGTCCTTCTGGCAAGAGACAGGGCATGGAGTGGCAATCAACAATGCTGTATCTATATTATAGCAGGAGGAAAGTGAAGTAAGACCCATTTAGTTCCACCTATTCTTTCCTTCCACTTTAATGTAGCAGCCTAGAAAATAGTGAGCCCTTAAAGTATGAAACCAAGTAGACCAGATTTTGATGCATGCCTGCAGGTCAGGATCTTAGGGGGTTCCAGCTGATCCTTCCTCTATAGACAGTGATGTGAACCTCCTTGATCCTTTGTGATGGGAGGTTGAGCGTGAACAGGCAGTCACTGTTATACAGGGAACACACTGATTTGAACTTACACGGAAGTGGAATGTAAAAAATGGGTAAAGTCCAAGTTCATTTTTACTCAAGTTTGGATTAAAAAAAAGGATGCTAAACTTCACAGTTCTAAAGACCAGCATTATTGAGCACTACAGTCAGCAACATATCATTATAGTAAAATCATAAGAATATAAGAACAGGTATTGTATTACATTATAATAAAATAATTATGCTCCAAGTGTACAGTTGCTGGCATTCAGGTTATCTGAGATACAGTGTAAATCAATAATACTATCAGGTTTGTAAATTTGCTATAACGGGTTGTTCTGTTCTCAAACAGCAGTTGTCAATTTTTTCCTTTTCCTTTCAACTTCAGATTAATACTGGGCATGAAACCTACAACCTCTTTGGTTGTAGGTTTTGCATAGAAGCACAGTTATAAAACCATAAAAGTAGCACACCTACCCAGTTCTGTTTCTCTTAACAGGTTTTCCCATTTTTAATTTTTCATCTCAGGGCTACCTTACCCACAAATTAAGGCTCTCACACCAGCTCAACACATTTATTTATTCCTGTCTTATTTTGTATTAAACAGTATCAAATCATGGCATGTACAAACATATTGCTTAGGAAAAAAGTCCCAAAGATGAAATGTAAAACACTCTACATGATATGTAGAACACTCTATTGATATTTCAATATTCAATGCATGCAATAATACAGTGAACTTGTTCAATCTTACTACAAAAATAGGAAAAAAACCCTCAGTAACTGGGATGCAATACTTGCGTATGAGGCAAATGATGGATGATTTCACTCATGACCCAAATTTGGAATAAAAAAGATATTCCTAAAATTCTCGTACAAGATTCCTGAATAAACACTGTGACCGTGTTCATTAGTATCATTTGATCAGTGCTGTAGGTAACCGTTCCTATTCCCTGTTTGAAAGTTTGAAAGCTAAACTGATAGAGTTTATGTTGATAAATCAGCTATATTTTATGCAGAGATCTTAATAGAGGTCTGAAGCAACAGTGGCATCTGCTAATTCATACACTTGTCCTAACCCTTTCTTGCAAATAAGTATTTTCTTTCATTCTAGTGTTTTTCATTAGACCCATATCATTTCAGAGAGATTCTTTCCCAGACAGAAGTATAAAATCTCTAACCATTGTGCAGCAGTTGTCAGACTGTTACATTGGGAGAGGGTGTGCTGAGTGGCACCTTGGCTTTACAGGGTGGAATTCAGAGAGGGATAAAGAGAAAGCTGAAATGTTAAACGATTCAAAGGTAAATGCATTGAGCATTAAGAGTCCTTCATGTCTTTCTAGAGATGTTAACTTGTGCTTCAGGCTTTTCTCAAACTACTTCCCCTTCTAAGACTTGCAGGAGCATCAGTTATTACCAATACTCTCAAAAGACATGTGAAACAGGATAAAAGTCTTTCCAGAATTCACATACAGCTAGATAAGAAAATCTAGGAATTAGATATTTTAAAGTCAAATTACTGAGGTAAAATTGAAACAGATGTTGGATTTCTATTAGGAAAGTCTATTTTCCTCCGACTGAAGGAAGAAAAAATAGAGAGAATTGTAGTGCGTGAGAAATTGTTGTCTTCTCTTTGACTGACAGGGCTGTTTCTATTTCTGTCCTGTAGAAGATTAAAGCACGTGCATAAAGGCAATGTGCAGACTTCAGCACAAAGAAGAGAATCCCAGCAGGTACATAACTTGCCCATATAAGTTATTTAGTCTGCAAATAAAAAGATTCTTCCTTTCAAATAGTACAGAAACTTGGTCGTCCATTTCTAAGGGCTCTAGAAGCACACATGTGGGTCATACCTATCGTGTATCTGTTTTCACTGCAAGACACACTGATTTGACTATAAAGGTCCAGGATGAGCTGTGGTCAGGTAGGGATATAATTATATGTGATTTTGTATCATAAACAGACACAATTAGTACAAAACTCTATGAGACCTGCTTTTATAGAAATGCATCTTTTATCTTTGTAAAAGTAGAACTGTGATTTAAAGATAAATCTTCATACACTGTCAATGGCAGATAAAGGCTTTTTCAGAGCCATCAAATAATAGAGATAAAAATATTGTTCTTTCACATAGTATTTTCTCTCTTGTCAAAATAGGACTCATAAATCACATGCAATTTAGCAAGCTAAGACACTTAGAACACAGCACTGTGTGAATATCAGAATAACTCCTATCTTGATATTGATAGTTTTCATCATCACAGTATGTAATAATTAAAGTATCATCCAAGCTGGCTATCACTATAAACTGTGAACCTTTTCTGCTGCATATGGGCTGTGCAACAGAATCATCCTGAAAGGATTCCAGAGCTGTTCAAGGCCAGTTGCACCAGAAACTTTTAAATCAGTTTTACACTCTCTGTATGATATTTTCTGCTTATCTCTGTGTTTGTCTATTGATTCCATAAATTTCCTAAGAATTTGCTATCAAAGCAGATTTCTGGGAACAAAATGTGCTATGAATTGGTTCATGCTGTTAGTTTTAAATCTGAAGGACCTTAGAGAAAGTGCGGCGTGTTGGTGTACTCACTTTCAATATACATTCACTTTTTTTAAGTTTGCAAAGTATGTCATCTATTATGTATACACGTTTGTATAGGTATTATATATTGCTTATAATCAAAGACAACATACTGTGTTTCAGCTTTCATATAGATGTTCCTTTGATATAAATTCAATTATATCAAAGGAATAAATTTTGATATAAATTAAAAGAAAAGGATGAAAAGTTAGTAACCATTAAGGATGATGGATTCTGTCCTGTACCATAAAGAATAGTGGACACTTTGCTAATGATCAAGAAAGCAGTGAATAGCAGCCTAGATTTTCACACTATTTATTTATACCTTGCTACATCCATTGTACAACCATATTATACAATCAGTCATAATGTTACATTTATTGCCAATTTTATTGATTTAATTCTAAAAATAATATTACTGCAAAATTCCTCCTTATGTAAAGCAAGAGGGGACCAGTGTGCCAAAAGTGCATGAGGGTAGATGTGTTCTAAAAACATACATTAGCTAATTCAATTTTTTATAACTAGAAGACATTAAATATTTATTTACTAACTTTCTGGGTGGCAGAATGTATATGCATCCCTGGCATCAAACATTTTCTGCTCTTGTTGTACATCTAGTCCTTTTGGCAATGCTAAACTCTTTCCACGTTATTAGAATAATGTTTTCCTACATGGTTGCAAATTAACCAACTGAAGTAACAAGCTATATGACCCACTCCGTGAAAATGAAATGAACATGATAAAGCACTCAAAACACTGGCATATGAACAGGATTGATATTAGACTCACTTTTTTATTGATGTAATATGGGTCCATGTCTTCCAAGGGCTCAGACACCATTCCTGGAGGTATGTCACCATAAATAAATGGAAGTGTTTTTCCTGCCTCCAAATCACTGTTTGGCTTTGGCCCGTTTTCATCATCATTGTCTTTACGATCTTGTTTAGAATTCTTAGCTTTTTCTGCAGCAATGCGTTGTTCAATAGCTGCAAGAGACTCTCTAGTGAAGTATTGGAAGCTGTCTGGTCCTGGTGGTACAAGCACTGACTGCTCCATCTTTTCATCCTGCACATTTTAATTACCATTTATTCTTCTGCATAGGAAAATACTAAAAGAAAGCAGAAAATAAAATTTAAACAAACATGATAAAATCACCTAGTAAGAAAGAGATAACATCTATTTTTAAATGCTTTTGTTTATGCTATGTTGGAATGTTCAAATACACAATATTGAAAATTATATAAAGAAAGATAAAATAAACAGTTTAGTTGGTGATTTGATCTTTGTACGAGGCACTTGTGTGGCTCGTATGCTAGTTATATAAACTGCAATAATTTCTCAACTCTAGGACTATAATGGTCTTTTACTCCAAATAACCAAAAGCATGATACTTAAGAACAATCAGATACATTCTTTCCTCATAACTCTAATTAATCTTGAAATCACCTCACACTCCTCTGGAATCAATCAGGATTATATTGGTAACTATAAATAGCACAGTTCATCAAAGCCAATTCAAAAATTTCCACTGAGTTCAGCAAGAGTATCAGAAAACAAGCACTATAGAATCATAATTTCTATTAAACAAATAAAAATCAACTCTGTGTATTATGAGGTAGTAAAGTAGGAGTTCCATGTAAGTTTTTGTACAGGTAGTTATTCTAGACAATAAGAAGAACAATTGCCTATTTTTATTTCAATTTAACTGTTACTATATATCTGGTTCTTTATTCAATAGCTGTAACTGGATAATTCTGGAAGTATTCTAATATATGTATTTATTTATATATTGCAACTGAGAAAATAAATCCAAATGGGAAAAAGAAAAAAGAAGTCCTGTTAAAACTATGGATCTGGCATCTTTCATGCTGCTGCATAATTTTCTGATGACATCAGACATACAGATGTAATGCATATTTGGGCACACAATGGCCTATATATCCCTCATGCCTGAATGTAAAGAGATATTTGCAGTCTCCACCCATTGCTGGAGTCCTTGCAAAATGATCAGTCAGCCTTTCAGGAGACTTAAGGGTCAATGGAGGTCAGTACTCACTGAAACGAGCTAGAGAGAGAGAATGAGAGAAGCAAGAATACAAGAGGTGGGTGGCAGAAAACATATTAAAACAAAGGAAAAGATGACAATCAAAACCAGGAATTGTGGAAAGAAGCTGAAAAAGATGAGGAAAATACAGCAAAAAATGGAAACAAGAGGAGACTAAATGAATGTAGAAAGAATTAGAGGACAACATGAAGAATGTGAAAAGGAAAAAATAGGAAGAGTGGAAGATTAGTAGTATAAAAATGCAGAGATTAAAACAAAGAAAAATAAAAAAGTAGGTGGAAGAACGGAATATTGGGAAAGGAGCAGGAAGGGAAGTAAATATAGATAGGGTTAAACTTTCTACTATGGAAAAGTCAATAAGGAGAGTAAGAAATTAGATGAGAAATAAAGGGAGAAGAAAGAAAAACATAGCTGGGAAGTGAAAAAGAAGGTCACTAAAATATATTCAGTAATAAACCCCAAATCCTCTAGATCATTAACGCCAGGGTGAGCACAAACATCTTAATCACAGGTATGTATTGAGTAGTGGAATATAGTGGATAAAAGAAAGAGGGCTCAAAGTGTTTATGGGCTCTATAACCCCAATTTTCTTGATTTCTCAGAAAAATTATAAAAAAACGTATTTCACTCGGATGTATACAATCATCACCCACAATCAGAGGAATGACTTCTAAAGAATCAAGGTGGCAGATTTCTTACTGTAAAAAAATTAAAGGGAGCTAATCTCCTACCAGAACAGAAAGCATTCACCCATGCAGAGTGTAGACACATGCCAAAACCAGCTCTCTCAAGCTTTCCCTTCTTTCTAATCCTGAAAGGAAATGGAATCATCCTGTTCTCTCTCCGTTAGGGGGAAAAAGGATATAAGAAAGTGTACCAACAACCTCAGGCAACAAGGGTTTAAAGTTTTGTCTTCCTCCACACAGACAGCATCCTCCAGACATCCCCCAGCTCCCCATTTCAAGGTTCTGTTTACTTCTGGGAATTGACTCTTTAGTCTCTTAATTACTGAACAGTTACAAACTTACAGTTTTTACACTCTGACATTATTTCTTAATGTTCAGTCACACCTTGTGGATATCGGGAAAGGAGAAAAACCTACTAGCCACGCCACTAACCTTGCTGATCCCCAAACTGATCCCCATAAGTGGCACCCTGTTTTGGGAAACAGATCTCATACTATTTAAATATTATGGGAGCCACAGCTTTAGGTGGATACTACTTGCTCTGTGGGCTTCAGGGAGATAGAGAGACTCAAAAGAGACAGTCAGGCTTTCTTTGCTCAGCTTATTTGGCAAGGAATGGACAAAGGTCCCATCCCATCCCATCCCCTTCCCTTCCCTCTTCCCTCTCAGCATAGGTATAATTGCCATGGGCACCTGCATATGAGGCTACACAGCCATGTCTGCCTTTCCCTCTCCTCCTCCTCATGAGACCCAGGAGGTTGGTTTTCCCCTTTGCCATTTTTTCTTTGAAAATCCCCTTCATTGCCCAAATGTACATGGCACTTGGTATTCCCTGCCATGGTGGCCAGCAAGGGCACAGCAAGCCAAGGAGTCCTGGCACAGTGGGAGGGAGGTGCTGGACTGTAGCAAGAGCAATCTTGTGTTTTGAAGAGGAAGGAAATGGACAGCCAACGACCAGTCAGCAAATACGAGCTCTGAAACCCTATGGTGCTCTGTCAGGATCACCCTTTAGTTCAGGCGAGTGTCCCCAGCTGTCATGCAGAGCATGGAGGTAAGCCTCCAGGATTTGCCTGCAGGTGCACAGAAGAAAGCTACTCATGGCCATTAGTTACCTTGCAAAAACATTTAATTCAGCTACTGTGTTTACATACTGAGTTTAAAACCAGCAAATGCTGTGGGCTTTTCTAATATCTGTACCTTTTCTGTAGAAAGGAATTTTACATTATTATTCTATAATTAATCCTAGAATGTTCTCAGGTCTGTCTAATGTACATGTCTAATGTCTGGAGTTAGCCAGATATACACCTTTAGATGTATCTAAATTTAAGTAGGCTGTGCTTAACAAAATGTTTCAGGAGAATTTATGAAGATTAAATACTTTTTATCCTCTACTTAGCAGATTAGAGAACGATATCCCAGATACATTTTCCTTTACTTCATGCATTTCCATGATTATAAGTCTTCAGAATTGCAAATAGAAATCTTCTATAAATTTAAAAGTCAATATTAAATAGATACAGAATTCACTACAGTCTTAATTCCAAATCACTTTCGTCTATCATATCGCAGTTGTTAACTGAAAGGTTTGTATTTCCTTTATTACAGTCGATGAATTTATTCCCACTTACCTGTATAGGGAATGGATAACAATTGATATCAAGTCAGTTAATCAACTGATATCCTTCTGATTGCTATCAACTGATTTATTAAATATTAATGGAATAACTACAGATTGCTTACATGATCCAAATGGACTTCTTTTTTACTTTAGCATAGCACTGGTAATTCAACAGAGGAAAGAACATAAGAATACAGAAAATACAGATTTCTTACTAAGTTCTTTCCTACTGCTCTTCTGGAGTGAATGAGATTTGTTTTCCTTCTTCATCTCCAATTGTGTTTGAGTGACTTTCTTATGAGCAATGTATCTGTAGGCAAAATATTTCAAATTTTGGAGAATAACGTAGTCAGAACTTTTGAGAATAGAATCATTGTGTCTCTTCTGAAATTTCCCAGGCAAAATATGTTCATATATACTTTGTAGGATACATTGCTGTATGCCAGATAATTCCAGAGCACACTCAATACACTATGTGTACATGGACCATCTGTAAACCACATGCAGAGTAAGTCTGAAGTTATTCAGCTGCATCTGTGTAATTGCACAATGCGCAGTTGATCTGCCCATGCACATTAAGTCTGAAGCATCCAGAACGACACTGGATTAGCTGTGTGCACACACTGACCATCTGGGCAATATACACGCAATTGGTTCAGCACTTCCCTGACAGATGTGATCTACTGTACACCTTGTGTAGTTGTAGATCTACACATATTTAGAGAATAACTAAAACTGTCAATTTTCTACAGAGTTTCCACAAATTTCTAGTCTTCAAATTTCACCTGAATAAAGTTTCTAGGCAAAATAAAGGGACATGTTGGCAAATAGATGGAGAGATGTTGCCTTGTCTAACAATGATTCCAAACCAGTTGCGCACTAGCCTTTGAAGAAGTCAATTAGACGATACATAACTCTCTGAAAAAGAGACAGATTTGAAGAAGACTTTTTCCTGACCTGATAAGCACCTGGTCGACTGCTAGCTTTCATGTTCTTCATGCCTTCATAACAAATAGTGACAAGAGTTTCTGGAGAGTTTGGTCGGGAGGAACTTAGCATACATGTAGAACCACAGTACTGCAAATACCTAAACTTTAGCAAGCAAATTTCTTTATATTATCCATATGCTTAAATCTAAAATTCTAACATGATTTGATGTTTGATCTTCTGTGACAGCACCCATGAGTTAAAAATTAGCTTCCATTTGCCACAGAATATACTGAATGTTGGGATATTGAAGTTCCATTGGACCCTAGTGCTAGCAATGTAGGAACTTGATTGTAATGGACCAGTTCCGACAATGTTTGTGGTACAACAGGTCTGGTCCAGCTTTATACTTTCACCTACATAAGCACGGATACAAAGCCTTCCATGACCACCTTTATATCCAAATGCTGAAATCAAACCTGATAGCTAAAACCCAATCTTTTTCCTGCCTCTCTCTCTATCCTTCAGGTGCCAAGATTCTCAGCAATATAACTTTTAATATTAGCCAGCATTTAATTTTACTCAATTAGCATAGCAATATGAGCAACTTAAAAAAGCTATAGCTTCTCAGATTTACTGTACAGCAGTGTGCCAAGTTTTCTAGAACATACTACATAGATGTTCAGTTTCTTCTATGATTAAAACTGCAGGTGCTGAGTGATGTCGACATGTTTCTAATGTACAGACACAGTGAATAGAC